CCATCTGTAAAACTAGTTGATAATCTCTCAGATTTTCTTCTGTCCTAGGGAGAAATCAATATAAGATTATAACAATGAGGAAAAATTAAAAAGAATTATCTAGCATATGAGGTCAAGTGGGGGAAATCAATCAAATGGACATGCCATCAAAGTTATGTCGGATGGAATCCAAAGAGCAACCCAGGATTAACACATTTTATATGAGTGGTTGGATTCTTTCAATAAATAAGCAACTTCTATAAAGATCTTTGTTCAAATATCTGTAATAGAAACAGTCACAAGGGTCCTTTGTTGATCCATCATCCCAGAATTATAGGAAGACAAGGGAGACAGCTCTCATCTGTCTACATGTTTCAATCTTGGGCTGGGGGGTGGGGGGTAGGGTGGGGGTGGGGGTAGGGTGTCCCTTAGCTCTACCTTCCTTATTCTTTGTATATGTTCCTGCTTCATCTAGCTGTGTTTTCCACAGGCAACCTGCTCCTCCCTGCCTTCCTAGATTAGCGGGGAGATTTCTCAGACTACTCCAGCTCCATGATTCCTTGTGACATCACCTTAGCAGTTTGGTGTTCGGTAAGTGAAACATAGGGTACTCAAGATGGCATTAGGATGATTTCAAGGCTTTGGAAGCCCCTCTTCCCCCAAATAAAACAAAACAAAAACAGGAATCTCTCAGGAGTGACTTTTGCTTTAGGAACCAATGCATGCATGTCAAATCTCACATGTTAATGAGGGGGGGGGGGGGAAGGATGAATAAAAATATCTGTACTCTGAAGTTCTAGATTTTAAATACCCTAAAATGTGTCCCCTAATCTTCTGCTGTTGTTGTTCGGTGTCATTGAGTCTGATCCACTTCATAGCGACAGTATGTACAGCAGAATAAATCTTTGCAGATAAGAGGATTGAAAATACCATAGGTTGGGTCATTAGCATTTAATCCTCCAAGCAACATACTACCAAAGACTTCAGTCAAATATTAATCAAACATGAAATTAAGCTGCGTGAATAATTATTGACAATTGAAAATTAAAAGTTGGAGTGAAATGGAGGAAGGAAAAGTAGATGTAAAATATGAACTTGGTGACAGAAAGATGGAAATCTCATGATAGAATGTTGGAAGACCTAGGACTTGCTCATAAAAAAATACCTATTTTCAACATGGACTTACCCAGATGGAATACACAGGAATCAAATTGACTGTATCTGTGAGAAGAGACACTGGAAAAGCTCAATGTTAGCAACTAAAACCAGGCTAGGGAATGACTGTAGACGAAACCATCAAGTGCTCATATTTAACTTCAGGATAAAGTTGAAGAAAATCAAAACAAGTCCACAAGAGCCAAAATATGACCTTGAGTCTATCACACCTGAATTTCAAGAATTTCTCAAGAAAAGATATGATGCATTCATATCTTTTGATATGATTAATGATGAAGACTTGATAAGCTATGGGAGGACATGAACAACATCATCTTGAAGAAAGCAAATGGTCATTAAAACAACAAGGGGAAAAAGAAAAGATCAAAGTGAATGACAGAAGAGACTGAAATTTGCTCTTAATAGTAGAGTAGTTAAAGCAAATGGAAGAAATTATGAAGTCAAAGAGCTGAATGGGCAGCTCAGGAAGATTAAGCCAAATACTATAATGAAATGTGCAAGGACCTTGACTTAGAAAACCAAAATTCAAGAACACACTCAGCATATCTGGAATTGAAAGAACTCAAGAGCAAATTCAAACCTCAAGTTGCAATCTTCAAAGACTCTATGGGCTATATTCAATGATGAATGAAAGATCAAAAGAAGATGAAAAGAACACACCGTGACTGCACCAAAAGAATCTACTGGACATTCGGACATTCCACTATTTCAGGAGGTAGAATAAAAATAAAAACAAGAACCAATGGTGCTGAAGGAAAAAGTTCAAGCTGCACTGAAAGCATTAGCCAAAAACAAGGCTTGAGGAATTGAGGGAATACTCATTGAAATGTTTCAACAATCTAGTAATGCACTGGAAGCACTCATTCATCAATACAAAGAAATTTGGAAGGCAACTACTTGACCAACTGACAAAAAAAGATACATATTTGTAACCATTCCAAAGAAAAGTGACCCAACAGAATGCTCAAATTATAGAACAACACCATTGACATTGCATACCAGTAAAATCTTGCTGAAGATCCTTCAACAATGTGGTTGTCTTCTTTGGATCCATAATCAAAGCTCATGGAAGCTGGAGTCAAGAGATTAAAAGACGTATTGCATTTGGTAAATCTGCTGCATATGATTTATTCAATGTAATGTGCTGTTTGACCTCTTGACTGCTTCTTCCATGAGCATTGATTATGGATCCACGCAAGGTGAACTTCTTAACAACTTCAGTCTTTTCTCCATTTATCATTATGCCATATATTGGTTCAGTAGTGAGGATTTGGATCTTTTTTATATTGACTTGTGATCCATACTGAAAACTGTAATCTTTTATCTTCATCAGAAAATGCTTCAGATTCTCCTAACCTTCAGCAAGGACATTGTTCTAGGACAGTGTTACTTATCCCAGGTGCCATATATTACTTAACCCATGTGGGAAGCAGGTATAAAAGAACCCAGGTATTAAGAAACGTTTAGCTGTTTCTTCCTCTTAAGATCCTAAAAAAAAAATTCCACAAAAGTAACATATTGGCTATTTGCCAACAGAGTCACATTCAGTACCGTCATGTCAGTTGGCATACAGTCATCAACTAAACATCATCTAAACAGTCATCAACAGAAACATCACAGTTTCTCAGTCAGCTCCTCTCTTTTTTTAACCTCTATTTATTTTTGTAAGATTTGACTTACTTCTGTCACTTGTTTAGTGCCACAAATATTTACAAAATGAAGTTTATCTACTAAATACATAACAATCAAAACAAAAGGAAAAAGACATATCTCTCAAGTATCATCAATCTTCCAAAGAAACATTTTCTCTTTATCGTTAAGGGAGATGAATGCACATAAATAATCTGCCATAAATAAGAACTAAATTAAACGCAGACAACCACTTGTCAGCCAGCATTTGTCTGTCAGTTTGTCCTATTATTCCACCAAGTCTTTAACAACAGAGTTACCCATGGTGAATAAGGCTCAGTGGAGCTTCAAGATTAAAAACAGACAAGGCAGAATAAATAGGCTATGCACTTTTGTGGGATTACCATATAATATCATACCAATTATCATACCAATAATAGCATAATATTGTCATAAATGGTGCAGAAAAATGATGAAATAGGCTGTCATTTTCTAATGGATTAGCTTATACAATGTTATGAATAACAGTGAAAGGTTGTTAGATAAAATGCCAGAATATGATCCCCTCAGGTTGGAATTCATTCAGAGTACCACCTGAGAAGGGCTGCCTGCTCAAAACAGAGTCAACCAGAAAGATGTGACTGGAGCAAAGCTTTTGGGACCTTTATTTGTTGATGAGCACAGCCCCAAATGAGAAGCAACTACTTCAAACATCCATTCCAGAATGTGAAATGTAGGCAGGATAAATCCAGGAAAATAAGAAGTTGTCAAATATGAAATGGAATCATTAGGAATTGATATCCTGAGCATTAGTGAGCTGAAATGGACTTGTATTGGCAATTTTATCAGTACAATCATATGTTTTACAATAACAGGAATATCAGATTAAATGGTGTTGCATTCAACATTAAAAAGGACATTACAAGATCTATATTGGAGTAAAATAAATGCTATCTGCAAGAGGATATCTACACACCTACACCTATCATTGAATTTTGTGTACTGACCACTGAAACTGGTGATGCAAACCTTGAAACCTTCTACCAGTTCCTTCAATTTGAAATTGATTAAGCATGCAATAAAATTGCACTGGTAATAATTGTCCACTGAAATGTGACATTTTAAAACAAGTAACAACGATAGTAGATGGATAATATGGCCTTGGTGACAGAAACAAAGCTAGAGATCACATGAGAGAATTCTGTGAGACCTTTGGTTTCTTCATTACAATAATTGTTTTCAACAATATGAGTAACAACTATACATATAGAGCACACCAGATTGAATATATAGGACTCAAGTTGAGTTTATCTGTTGGAAGAGTTGATGGAGAAGCTCAATATTAGTTACCAAAACAAAGCCAGGTGTTGATGTGAATCAGATATTCAATTATTATTTTGTAAGTTGAAGTTGAAGAAAATTAAAAGAAATCCATCAGAGCCAATATATGTCTAAAGGTGTATCACACCTGAATCTCAAGAAATCTCAAAACACAAATTTGACCCACTATACTCTAATGAAAAAACCTGGCCAAGCTGTGGGATGACACTAAGAACATCATACATGAAAGTAGAAGTTCACTAAAACAAGAAAGAATTTACTTTTCCTTGTCTCAGTTGCCAAAGAGATTTTGTTAAGATTGATTCAATAAGGCACTCTGAATATGTGCTGTGAAGAGTGATATCAATAAAAACAATGAGAGTCAACACTCCTCATATACATGTGAACGTTTGACATTGAATAAAGAAGACCAAAAAAGAACCAATGCATTTGTATTATGGTGCTGGTGCAGAATATTGAAAGTACCATGGAGGGGGTAAAGTAAATCAGTTTATTCAACACCACATTGTTAGTAAGTTGTGGAGCCAGAATTAGACTCTAAGCATCACATATCCTTAGGTTATTTATCATGCTTCATAGAAACAAAATGTTTATTTATAAAGCACTCAGAAAAATGCCAAGTGGATATTTAAATGGAAGTTTTATAGAGGGCAACTGATTTTTGTCCAGGTAATTTCTCCAAATGATAAGCATATGAATAAAAAAGAAAGGAAACTCTGGTCAACATTGAAGCAACTTTTCGAGCATAATCAGAACACTTTCCATTAAACATTTTATTTTTTATATGCTAAAAGTGTACTCAAGAAATAAAACATCTACATCCCAGAATGAATTATTTATTCTGAAAGAAAAGAATTAATGCATTTTTCTTTTTACAAATTATTTCATTTTCAAGCAAATCCAGTTATTACATTTTATGAGAAAAACATTTTAATTATGTTTCCTTTTATATGCAAACACTTGGATTGATTAATACTTCCTCACTTTCCTTAAGTACAATATTATACATGCAAAGTGGTGGTCTGTGAAAAAGAAGAAAAAGAGAAGAAATATCTATTAGTAAAAGAGCAAATTATATTTCCTTTGCATATAAATACAAGAATATACTATGCCTGTGACTTCTCCAAAGGCAGATAGTTGAAACAAATTTATAGAACTGTTTTAATTCTACCTTATTTTATAATTTAGTAATGTCACAGACTGACTACTTATGAGACATAACAACAAAAAAACTGTTTAAACCTACTCTTTCCTTGCTGCTCAATTGGAGTACTTACAGCATATGAAAGATACACTTTAATGTGGACAAGTTAAACTTGAACTCATCCTTACTCACCAGATAACTACTTCTACAGCCTTCACAAAAGAGTTAGGTAAATTACATAACTGATTTCTGTCAAAATAAATTAATCTTCCTCAAGATTGTTGTTGTTAGGTGCATTGGGAGTGGGCCATGCACCATAGCAACTCTATGTGTAACAGAACAAAATGTTGCTCAGGCCTATGCCATCCTCCTGATCACCATTGCTGCTGTAGTTGCTGGAGCCCACTTTTATGGCTGCTCCTCTGAATCCATCTTCCCACACAGCTTCCCCTTTGTTCCTGAACCTCTGCATTACCGAGCAAGATGTCCTCTTCCAAGAGTTGACACATCCCAATACAATGTCTAAAGAACATTGGCTAAATTCTCAATATCCTTGTGTCCAAGGATCATCTTGTAATACTTTTTCCAGGTAAATTTGTTAAATAATCTGGGATTGCATGAAATAATTGATATTTTCAAAACACATAATTTTAAGGCATTGTTTTCCTTCAGTATTCATTGTCCAGTGTTCACATGCAACTGAAGTGATTGGAAATATCTTTTCTTGGGTCAGGCACCAATTTTTGCTACCTACCAACCTGAAAATACTAAAATTTGAAAGTGTTTTTAGGAGCCCTCTTGGTGCAGTTCTTAAAGCTCTCACCTACTAACTGAAAAATTGTTGTTTCAAACCCACTAGCCAACCCAGAAGATAAATATGTGGCACTCTGCTTCTATAAATATACACAACCTTGACAATTATATTCTGTCCTCTGGGGTTACACTGAATTGGAATCAATTTGACAGCAGAGTTAAAAACATTTTGTATCTTGAAGAGACTATGTATTTATTATTTGAAGATTTCTGACAAGTCAAGTCTCTGGGGGGATGAAGCATTTTGTTTAGCTATTTAACTCTTTGTTAATGTCTTAAAAGGAGCCCAAGTGCACAGTACTGCAACTCTGGGCAGCTAACCAAAAGGTGGATGAATTTACCAATCATTCTGCAAGAGAAAAGCCCTGGTGATCTTGCAGCCTTGGAAACCTGACAGGACAACTTGATGGAGGGATGGGAAAGGGATGAAAGAGAAACTAGAAGTAACAGTATACAGATATTTTCCATAATTTAGTAAAAATATAAAATAAAAAGAAAAGGAAAAAATAGGACCAATCAAATTACACAGGGGCTAGTGGTTCACTCCTTAACTTGACACAGGTGCTTTCTAGCCCAGCAGGCACATAACTCCCCATTTCCTTCCACTTCAGTTAAGAACTTCTTGAATACATGTTGAAAATATTGAGCTGATTCCTAGATAGTATTCATTTTATAAATAAAGCAGTTTTCTATATTGACTAAAGTATTTAAAGCAATAAAATATAAACAGAATTTTTATGCATAAAGTTGGGTAGAGGATAACATAGAATGTCTAATTTAGATTATACAACTAGAAATTTAAAACAGTAAATATAAATGACAATATTTAAATCTTCAAAGACTTTCTAGAAGTTGGCAAAAATATTGCTTTTTAAATGATCAGAGATTAGTCTCTTTTTAGAATAACTACCTATGTTTGAAACTAATGAACTGCAAAACAAAAGGATACACACATCAGCATTTTTCCAAAACTAAGAAGTGGGTGGAGTTAAGGCTATACCACTCTTAAAACAAAGGTACAAGTTGACCCTAAAACAACTCTAGAGGAGAGAACTGGATGATTCAGGAAGAAGTGAGTGCCAGCAGCATGGCATGTTGCTCTAATAGAGAGTGAATATGCAGAAGCAGTTGGGGAAATGGGTACTAAATAGAAGATGGCAGAATTTGGGTTGTTTAATAATAAAAACTTAAAATTGCTCTAAGAAGATTTAGGTGGAATCCAGACATCCCAGGCAATCCTGAAGAAGGCTCGGAAGGAAGAGAGGAGAATTGTAACATCAGAGAAGGCACAGACAGAGAAAAGCAGCAGGAGAGTAACAGGAGCAGCAGAGCCAGGAGAGCAGCAGGAAATGACAGAGGAAGGAACTCACAGAGCAAGCTAGCTGAATGCTTCCAGGACCTCAAGGCAATTGCTAGTAAAGGCAGCGAACTTTGTGACACTCACTCCAGCAGGCAAGATGCCATGGACCTGGGAGGCAGAAGAGCTGAAGAGCCAAGGGAATGGGAAGTGGAGTCGGCTCAGTCACAATGAGTATGGCCTTGACCTCTACTCATGACTCAAATGATAGAGTCAGGGACTCCAGGGTTTAAGTGAGTGGGGCCATGTTGCTGAGTCAGAGTGTCACTAATTTAGTGCTGGGGGGGTGGAAGTACACTTCATGAGTCCTGGGGAGATGGGGAAAAGCCACTGTCAAAGCTGGAGATGGCAGGAATGCTAGGAGCAAAGGGTACACGGATAAGGTTGGTGAGCACTGAGAAAGTAGGGTTGGACTAAGAGTATGGGACTCCTCACTACCGGGGAGCAAAATCAATGTCCCAGTGGCTCTTAAAGGTGAAGCCAAAGCGCAGAGCTAAGTGGCCTCCAGCTAGAATCCAAAGAACATGATGTAGGGTAGGACCCTTGCCGTGGTCTCGAAGAGCAGACCCTTGGAAGCTGATGTGAATTATTCTTCCAGGGTTTTTACTTGCTTGGTGATCCTTCATTATTCCTTCATTTCCCTGTGATTGCTCTCATTTTTCATGAAAATGTCTATCTTAAGCCTGTTCCATCATTATTCTTTGGACTATGTTAGCAGGATAAAAGATGACTTATATCCTATATTTCACAGATAAAAAGGAATCTTACCCAAAGATATGGAATTTGGACATAAAAATGATTTAAGATTTCTGATGTGATAGGATAGGATGAAAATGAGTTGCATGTGGAAAGGACAAGAATTTTGGAGGATGCCAAGGGTGGGATATCATAGATTAAATTGGGCTTCCCCAAAATACGTATGTCAGCTTGGCTAGGTTATAACTGTCAAATTTTCAGTATTTTGTAATTATTCTTTCATTGCTCATCTGGTTTCATTATCATATGTGTTGTAAATTCTAATGTCTATGCTCTTGATGAGATAAATTAGAGGTAGTTATGTTAATGAGGCAGACAATGATATATAAATTTAGGTTGTATCTTAAGTCCATTTCTTTTGAGATAAGATGTAGATTAAACAAATGAGCAGAAATCAAGGAGACCTCAGTTCTACCAAGAAAGAAGATGCATCTGGGAAACACTTCCTTATTTAGACCTAGGCTACCAGTGTCCAGAAAGTCCTCCACCCCAGGAAGATTGATAAGGACTTTCCCCCAGAGCTGACAGGGAAAGCTCTGGTGGTGTCCTGGTGATGCAATGGGCTGTGATTGGTTTATGCATTGTAGGCAGCTCAATCCACCAGCAGCTCTGCGGAGAAAGACTAGGCTTTCTACTTCAGTAAACAGCTACAGTCTCAGAAACCCACAAATCCTCACTAAGAGTCCGCATTGACAGCAGTGAATTTGGCATTTTTATTGTCAGAGCACTAGATAACTAGCACACCCAGGAAAGAGCTGTTGTGATGGTAAAGGATTAGTAATTCTGAGACTATAAATCCTTTTGGGAGCACACAGTAGGTTTCAATTGCTGACCTTGCAGGTAGCAACCCAATGCTTAACCCACAGAGCTAGCAGGCCCTCTTTATGTGACACTAGTCAAGGAAAACATGATTAACAAGACAGGGAGGTAGATGTGACACACAGTGTCTATTTTTCCCTCCCTCCCTCCACCCCTCATATTAAAGGACATAGGGTGCCTGGCGAAAGCCAGGACTATCAGCGAGCTCTCCACCATTTGTCCCAAAGAATGCACAGCATCTGATGAGGTGGAAAATTTGAAAACCATCCTCCTCCTTCTCAATGTCTCTTACATCAAAAGATAGCAAAAAAAAGGTTTAAAATGCAGACAATAGGCATACAAACATATTCACTATGATACCTTTCATAATAGCCAGACCCTGAGAATAAAACTAGGTACATAACAAGGAATAATTATGTTACATATTTCACAGGCTACATGTATTACATGTATAGATTATATAATGCAGCCATCAGTTTACAGTTAAACATTGTTTAGCTGTTTATAATTATAATCTGGAGTTTATATAACTCCAGGTACATTATATACAAGTGACCCATGTGTAACAGTGCTCCATTGAGTAATTGCAGGGCATCAGCAGTCTGGCGATTTCTACAAACTCTACTTACTTTGCAATGTTTATAGTTAATTACAGGATTTACTTGTAAGATACGTGATCATAAGTATGTGCAACAAAATTTACAGTTGCTTTTTTCAGTTCTAGGATTATATATGAATTAAATTTCAAAATGTTCAACAATATAATGCTTGATTACATTAACTAACAATTCCTTGTTACTATAAAAAAAATAACAATTAAAAAATAAGAAAGAGAAAGAGAGAGAGAAAATAACAACGTAAAATTACCAAGGTTAAAGATATTGGGGTATAGAAGCTTTTGTTTGAATCATTGAAAAGACATTTCTGAGTTGAGTGACATTGTACTTGTGATTTAACACTCCCATATGTCTACTTTCTTAAGTGAAAGTGGAAGGGGAGAAGACTATCTCTTAGAGTTGTTATAATGATTGCAAAAATTTAGAATATAGTAGCTGCTATGCAAAGTTGATTATTCAACTTGAAAGCAATTTACTAATATAAAAAAACCTCTCTACTATTCCCAAGTGTTCAGA